GCAATCCCATCTCCTGGGGCAATCCCAGCCTCATTTATCCTGTTCTTTGGCCAACAGGACGACCCGACCGGCCCCGAGACTTGGAGCTGACAGACCTGGCCGAGAGGAGCGTGAGGCTCACGTGGATTCCTGGTGATGACAACAACAGCCCCATCACAGGTGTGTCCCCACCCCTTGTCCCACATCCCTCCTGCTCCTTTCTGCATGGGGTGGGGAAACTTCTCCTGGGTTGCTGAGCCCTTCGCGCTCTCCGTGCCGTCCCCAGACTACATCGTACAGTTCGAGGAGGATCGTTTCCAGCCTGGCATGTGGCACAACCACTCCAGGTACCCTGGGAGTGTCAACTCGGCCGTGCTGAGCCTCTCTCCTTATGTCAACTACCAGTTCCGGGTGATAGCAGTGAACGACGTGGGCAGCAGTGTGCCCAGTGTGCCCTCCGAGCGCTACCAGACCAACGGGGCACGTGAGTACCCTCCAGCTCTCTCCTGTTGGGCTGGCCTCACCTTGGCCTTGGCATCTGGTCACCTCTTCCCACGTAGACACTTCCCTTCTGGTGTATCATCCCAACTCCTGTAAGAGAAACAGGTTTCCTCCAGTGAGGAACGAGCTGGGATGTCATTTTTTATGTCAGATCCTCAAGCCTGTCCAATCTCCCTGTAGACTCTTCCCTCCTGGTGTGTGATCCCAACTCCTGTGACAGAACAGGTTTCCAGAGTTGAGGGAATGAGTTTTGGTGTCATTTTATACACCAAATCCTGTGGCTGATATCCTGCAGAGCAGCAGAACTCTGATGGAAGGATTCATGCAAAGGTCACTCCAGTGGAATCTGTTGAAGGGAAACTTGGTTTCCCTACTTTTCCTTACAGAGAAGCTTTCTAAAGGAAGTTTTTCTTCCTTTCACACTAGAGGAAGCTCAGAAATCTGTTGGAAAATTAGACTCAGTTGTAAACTAACCACTAGCAAAGGGCATTTTGTTCCCAAATGGCTCATTCATTGTCCAGTGATGCTCTAAGAGTGCTGAGGCTCTGGCACAGGTTGCCCAGAAAACTGTGGCTGCCTCACCCCTGGGAGTGTTCCAGGTCAGGTTGGACAGGGCTTGGAGCAACCTGGGCTGGTGGAAAGTGTCCCTACCCATGGCCAGGGGTGGAATTGGGATGATCTTTAAGCTCCTTCCAACCCAAACCATCCTGTGCTGCAGGAGTAAACATGCTCCAGTCCACGACTGGTCTTCAGTTTGTCTTCCCAGTGCTTTGTTTGTTGGAGAATACTTGGGAAAATTCACATGAGGAATACACAAGAAGCTTAAGTTGTGCTGATCTTTAAGTCCAACCCAAACCATCCTGTGCTGCAGGAGTAAACATGCTCCAGTCCACGACTGGTCTTCAGTTTGTCTTCCCAGTGCTTTGTTTGTTGGAGAATACTTGGGAAAATTCACATGAGGAATACACAAGAAGCTTAAGTTGTGCTGCTTTTCCTGATTGAGCCTGGCAGAGGCTCCTGCACTATCTGGTGGCATCTAGTGTTGGTTCCTGACACTGCTCGTGGCAGTTCTGGCTGCAGAGTGCCAGGCTCGGCTCCCAAGGCTGTCTCCCAATGCTCTCTCACAGATTTAGGACATCTGGGAAAAAAAAAAAAGAGCCTCCTAAATAAATGCCCTGGTTTTCAGGAGCACTGAGAGGCTCATGTTCCATTAACCTCAATGGGAACTGCTGGAAAATTCAGGCCATTAACTTCTGTCTTGGCAGTACTTTTGGCTGCTGCAGTAAAGGGTTTTTAACCACTCAAATGGTTATTTTTTCAGCATCCTAAAATGCATATTTCCCCCCCCCCAATATGAATTTCAGGTCCTGAGATTAACCCAACAGGAGTGCAAGGTGCAGGGACCCAAAAGAACAACATGGAGATCACCTGGACGGTGAGTTCTTTGGTGCTTGGCAGTGATGTCTGAGGTACCAGATGGGAAAACAAATCATCAGGGACCATAAAGGAGAAGCATTTTGGGGGTGTTGGTGGGGGAGAGGCAGGACATGGCCCAGCCATGTGCATTGGCAGCCAGAAACCAATCGTGTTCTGGACTCCTCCCAGTGTGGGCAGCAGGTCAGGAGGGGATTTTGCCCCTTTCTGCTTTCCTCAGGTGAGACCTCACCTGCAGTGCTGCTCCAGCGCTGGGTCCCAGCCCAGGAGGACATGGAGCTGTTGGAGAGAGTCCAGAGGAGGCACCAGAGTGATTGGAAGGATGGAGTAGCTCTGCTGGGAGGCTGAGAGAGTTGGGATTGTTCAGACTGGAGAAGAGAAGCTTTGGGGTAACCTAGTTGTGGCTTTCCAGTGCCTGAAGGAGCTACAGGAAAGATGGAAAGAGACTATTTCCAAGGGCCTGGAGTGCCAGGACAAGGGGGAATGGCCTCACACTGATAGAGAGTGGGTTTAGATTGGATATTGGGAAGAAACTCTTCCTATGAGGGTGGAGAGGCACTGGCACAGTTTGCTCAAAGCAGCTGTGGCTGCTCCATCCCTGGGAGTGACCCAGGCCAGGCTGAGTGGGGCTTGGAGCAACCTGAGCTAGTGGAAGGTGTCCCTGACCAGGGCAGGAGAGGCACACGATGATCTTTAA